GTGTTCATTGGCTAGATCTCCACAGCCTGGAACAAGAAGCCCAGCTGCTGATGYTTATATTGCAGACACCTACTTTTAGAAAATGAGGCTCCTGCCCAGCAGAGCTGACCGCATTTAGCCTGCAAACACTTGCTCTGTAGACAGCATTCTTTAGACATGTTTGTGCATTTACAGCAAAGCTACTAAGGGATCTGCTTTCTTGGAACCTGCAAGTCTTCTTTTTCTTCCAACACTCAGTTCTGTTTCTTCAGTTCAAAGCAGATCCAGCTTGCCTTGCTGTGTGTTCATTCATAGAAAGCAGGTGCTTCAAAAAGAAGCAGTGAGATTTTCTGAGTAAGTTTCTCCTTTTTGGAACGGTTGCTGTGGTGAGGATCCTGGGAGCGACAGCCTCCAAACCCAGGAACAGAACTTCACAACACAACTAAAATTGGTTTGCCAAAGCACAGATGTCTCGAGCAGAAATGTTGAAGTTGATTTGCTTTGAAAAATGAACATATTGCCCACAAATTATTACTGCAGTGGCTCTGATGGATCCATTTTGTAACTCCTGTGCAAGCAAAGATTTGATCTGCACTTAATAGAAGTGCTGGATAGCCATGCCAATGGGAGTGTGATTTTTCTGATGAAAAAGTATAGCTCCAACAGGCATGCTCCTACACTGAGGTGAAGTTGCTTTATATAGACAGGGCTATTTTTTCTCCACAAGGGAGTTGAAACAAGAGCATAAAGCACCATTAGATTGACGTAATTGCACCAGGACGGTGCACTGATTAAACTACACCTGCTCCAGCATCCAGAGGCTCTTCCAGAGCTCCCTATGTGCACGATATCCTCCTTTAGCTCTAATGACATGGGTAAACAAAAGTTGTGTACCAGACTGCAGTGGGGCAATTTGCCTCTTAAGAGGGCTATTTTTGTAGTTGTCAGGGCTTTTCTGCTGCTCCTTAGCTATCCTTCATTTTAGGCTTCAAAACAACAATTTTGGTGAGGCCGCACCTGGAGTACTGTGTTCAGTTCTGGGCACCCCAGTGTAGGAGGGACATGGAGCTTCTGGAGAGGGTCCAGAGAAGGGCAACCAGGATGATTAAGGGAATGGAACATCTCTCGTATGAAGAGAGGCTGAGTG